CACCTCAAGAACACGAGAGAGAGATCAAACACATAGCTACTGGTACATACCCTCAGCCCCGAGGGAGAACTACTCCCTCCTCATCATGGAGAGCACCGGGATGATGAAGATGGCCACCGGAGAAGGATTGCCCCCTCCGGCAGGGTGCCGAAACGGGTCTAGATTGGTTTTCGATGGCTACGGAGGCTTCTGGCGGCGGAACTCCCGATCTATTGTGCTCTCGGATGTTTTTAGGGTATATGGAGATATACAGGCGGAAGAAGTACGTCAGGGGGGCCACGAGCGGCTCACGAGGGTGGAGGGCGCGCCCAGGGGGTGGGCACGCCCCCCTGCCTCGTGACCTCCTCGCAGATCCCCCGACGTGCACTCCAAGTCTTCTGCGCTTCTTTCCTTCCAAAAATGAGTTCCGTGAAGTTTCAGGTCAATTGGACTCCGTTTGATTTTCCTTTTCTTCAAAACCCTAAAACAGGGTAAAAACAGAAACTGGCACTGGGCTCTGGGTTGATAGCTTAGTCCCAAAAATGATATAAAAGTGTATAATAAAGCCCATAAACATTCAAAACAGTAGATAATATAGCATGGAGCAATAAAAAATTATAGATACGTTGGAGACGTATCATGCACCATCATCACTTGGATTACGTCGACGAGCTTGATGTCTTTATCCATCATGCTTTGAATGCGTCTTTGCAGCGCAATCAGCTCGTCTGACGAACACCAGTTCAGGTTCTTCTCGACCCAGGAGGTGAGTCGCACGGGAGCACCGAAGTTGAATTCGGCAGCCACGACCCAGGTGGCATCGCGGGGTTCGGTGATGTAGAACCATTGTTTCTGCCATTCCTTGACAGACTCCACGAATGTGCCTTTTAGCCAAGAGACATTGGTGAGCTTCCTCACGATGGCGCCTTCGCACTCTGCATGCTGGCCATCCACCACCTTCGGCTTCACATGGAAGATTTTGAGCCACAACCCGAAGTGGGGTTGGATGCGTAGGAAGGCCTCGCACACGACGATGAACGCCGAGATATTGAGGAAGGAGTTCGGGCATAGGTCGTGGAAGTCTATCCCGTAGTAGAACATTAGCCCGCGGACGAAGGGGTGGAGTGGAAACCCTAGCCCGCGGAGGAAATGGGGGACGAATACTACCCTCTCGTTGGGCTTCGGCGTGGGAATGATTTGTCCCTGGGCTGGAAGACGGTGGGCGATTTCCTTCGCCAAGTACCCAGCCACCCAAAGCTCGGTAATATCCTCCTCCTTGACGAAGGAGGCCATCCACTTGCCTTCACCACCGGATCCGGACATGGTTGAGTGCTTGCCCGAATGTGAAACAGATGGGAACTTGGGCGCTGGAGCTCAAGAGTGGAAAGGAAGAGGAAGAGAGAAGGCGTGGGAAGAAGAAAGGGGATTCTTATCTCCTTTTAAAGGCAGTGAATATTGAACGCCTCCCCACTCGCCTTAAAATTCGCCTAGTCCCAAGGGTTGTGTAAACGGCACGGTTGGGTTACCCACGCCCGTATTGATCAGAATCCCGCAATAAGGGGACACGATCTATGCTTCGACAAGACGCGCCAATGGCGACCGCGTCTCGAAACATGGAGCGGCAGACGAAAAACGGTTCGAAATTGTGACCGGTCAGACGAGATGTCGTGTTGCAAAAAGTTGTCAGCGGATTGGACTCGTGGATTATTATATTCTCTCTACGTTTGTGTGTGGTGTGTGTGTTACAGGTCCGGACATGATCAATACGTCCGAAGACTATCTTGGAGTTCGGAAGGAGGAACCCGCCTTGCAATGCCGAAGACAGATCTACGCGCCGGATACCTTGTCATTGACGCCAGGTTCAGGGGCTACTGAGGGAGTCCTGAACTAAGGGGTCCTCGGGCGTCCGGCCTGTTAGCCATGGGCCGGATTGATGGGCTGTGAAGATACGAAGACCGAAGACTGTACCCGTGTCCGGATGGGACTCTCCTTGGCGTGGAGGGCAAGCTTGGCGACCGAACATGTAGATTCCTTTCTTTGTAACCGGCCTTGTGTAACCCTAGATCCTCCCGGTGTCTATATAAACCGAAGGACTTAGTCCGAAGGGAGAGATACATTATCATAGTCATACAGGCTAGACTTGTAGGGTTTAGCCATTACGATCTCGTGATAGATCAACACTTATAATACTGATATTCATCAAGATCAATCAAGCAAGACGTAGGGTATTACCTCCATAGAGAGGGCCCAAACCTGGGTAAAACATTGTGTCCCCTGTCTCCTGTTACCATCGACCTTAGACGCACAGTTCGGGACCGCCTACCCGAGATCCGCCGGTTTTGACACCGACAACCATCCCCACAACGCAGGAGAGAGGGAGGCCCCCGCCATCGTCGTCGGCTCCAGGTTATAGGTCGCCGGCGTCCTTCGGAGGCGGCGGAGGGAGGGGGAGGGAAGGAAGAAGAGACCCCGACGGCTAGGGTTTTGCCCCGCTTGAGTCGCTCGAGCAGGGGCGACGCGGGAGGGGGGGAGGGGCAAGAGTGTTGTGCAAGGGACAAGAAGGACTAATAAATTAGGACGAGGGCAAAAGTACTTCGGGATACCCTCCTGAAGAACCCCAACAATAATTCTGTAGCTGAAGAATCCAGATAAAAATTCTGCACCATTCCTTTTTTACCTGGAATTCTTACTATACTACTCCCTTCATTTCTAAATATAAGTCTTTTAGACATTTTAAATGGACAACAACATACGGATGTATTTAGACATATTTTAGAGTGTAGATTCACTCATTTTGCTCCGTATGTAGTCACTTGTTGGAATCTTTAGAAAGACTTATATTTGGGAATGGAGGGAGTACAAGTGTCGGTTAGTAGTGGTGCAACATTTTCCCTCCATGTGAGGCATGTATTTTCAAGATATCAGATGCGGTCTCTCGTTGGTTGGCCACACGCGTAAACTGGAGCTGGTAGCGCAGTGCACACGCTAGCAAGTGCAGTGGGGCGGCACCCGGGCGGCCTCGCCGTTCAGACTCGTTCACGTGTTTTCAGTAAGTTGTACGTACTGTACTACCATATGAAAAACTAGGATATCTGTTATCTTTTCTCCTGTGTTAACTCGTGGCCACGGAGTGATAGGCTGCTGTTATGGCTAACCCAACCACTAAAAAAAGAGATAATAACCACCAGTACGGGTAAGGAGATGACGGGTAAGGAGTGCAATGAAAAAGGGAAAAGAGAGGAGCGAATGTGTGAGCAGCGAGGGAGGCCAGGAGAAACCGCCCGTGATAGGGAGGGCCCACCGACAGGCAGAGGCGCCAACGTACGGCAGCACGCCCGCTTTTGTCCAGTGGGTTGGTGTGCCTTCCTTTTGCATTTACAACGAACCGAAGATGGAATGCAACACGAATGGATAGGAGCGTGTGCCCTGTGCATTCGAGTGCCAGTTACCATATGCCAAAGCAAAGCAACGCAACGCCAGATACCCATCCACTCCACACGCTGGTGGTGGTGGTGGTAGTGATCCGTCCACTGCTACTCTACGCTGGCTGTTCCGTTCCGGGGCTTCCTGTTTCCCCTTTTGACCGGAGATGAGGCAGGCAGGCAGGCAGGCGTGCACAGCGCGGACGAGACTGGGCAGTGCCGCTGGCCCCACGATTCCCAGACGATTCTTTTCTTCCCCCCGACGGAGGTGTGGGTGGGTGGGCCCGCCCTCGTCATGTCACATCGGCTGTGCGTTCCGCGCGGACGCGGAGCCTACGCGGACTCGCCGTCAATTTCTGGCGGGAAATAGTATTTACTTTGGCGCCCTCGCTTCAACTTTCAACCCCCCTACTCTTCTGCTGCTAGTTTTCTCCGAACGCCGTTTTCCGAAACACTCACGATCAGCTGTTGCTTGTACTACGTGCTGATGCACTGAGAGAAAACGGCGACCATTTTCCCAATATATAAATCTTTCTAGTATTTTGTTCACATCCAGGTAAACTGGGTCAAATTTAAGCACGGCGGGGGCATCCGTGGGCATTTCTGGAACGCGCGCGCGATCGCCACGAAAACGATGGGGACGGACGCATCATCAGTTCAGCATGGCAGCAATGCAACGGCGCTCCGGTAGGTGACAAAGGGGATCACGTCGTCGTCGGACCCGTCTGCTTCGAGGAGCGTGAAATTTGCCTACAAATACTACTAAAAATATCGCCTCGAGAAGCTTCCTGCCAGCTAACGTCCAGCCCAGCGCGATCCGTTCGACCTACTCCATTGTTAGGAAATACGTATCGGAATAATAGCCCACGATGTGGATGTGTTCCCCTTTTTCCTTTTTGCTTCTTCTACCCTGACTGAAAATGAAGTGAGATGGTTCCTCAAGCAACCGTGATCGAGCACAAAAGACGTGAACACGGATACAAGTTTGGTCGCCAGGCGTCCAAGCCAAACATGAATTTCCCGAGCTAAAACTATAAACTATCGATTGCAAGTCTGAAACACAGTATCTGCGCATGTAGTACTAAAGAATTACAGTCACGTTCACTACCACTAGTTCCATTTCGCAGACTGACATTTCAAGAATTTCACAAGACAAAAAACGTATGATTTTCATGAATTTACAAGACAAAACAACCATTAACAACAAAATAATATTCCACATTACATGATTTTTGACGAGCTAATTTTACATAACAAGACTCCCACTGTTACAATCTGCAGAGCAGCGGAAGGAACAGCACCTAGCTAGAACCATGGACACAAGACTTCACCGGCCGGAGTCACTGACCAGTGACCGACCACCGGAGACGCCGGGCACAAAAACGCCGGCTTATAGTCATCCGGGACGGACTAACCAAACCCTACCACAAGAGAACAAATAATAGATCTACACAATGAACAAGGATTAGAGACTTAGAGCTAATCCGCTAAAAGCCCGTGCAGAATGTCTAAAATGCCATCTGCATCGCGGCGACCCATTAACCTAACATCATGACACGCTAAAGACAGTAGTAGTAGCTGACGAACACAAACTGGGTGCTAATTGGCGGCGAGAAGCGAGTCCCAGTCGATCTCGTACGACGGGTACTTGGTGAGGGCGAAGCAGGCTGCCTCATCCCATGGCGCCTCGCTGAAGTCGAGCTGCTGCATCTCTGGAACCTCTGCTGCGGTGGTGGCGGCGGGTGACGGTGACGACTCCGCGGACTCCAGCGAGGACGACGCCTCGTCGGAGGACGGCGAGGAGCAGTTGCTGGTGGGGGTGGACGACGTGGCTGCGGCGGTGGACGCGGAGACGGAGGCGGACTTCTTGGCGTTCTTGGAGGCGGTGATGTTCTGGCAGAGGGTCTGGAGCTTGGCGTCAACGGAGGCATGGAGCGGGCCGCGGGAGGCAGCGTTGTCGGGGAAGTTGAGGCGCGCTGCGTCGCCGCGGAGGCGGTAGGCTGCCTGGTCGTAGGCGAGGGCCGCCTCCTCGGCGGTGTCGAAGGTGCCGAGCCAGAGGCGGGTGCGGTTGCGGGGGAGGCGGATCTCCGCCACCCACTTGCCCCAGTGGCGCTGCCGCACGCCACGGTAGAGCTTCTGCGGCCGCGGCGGGGTCGCCGCTGCCACCGAAGCAGGCTTCATGGGCTGGGGCCGCGGGCCGAGGTGGCCCGGCTGGCCGGTCTGGCGCTGGAGGTGGAGGCGTGCCTGGATGTAGTGCATCTGGGCCGAGCTGAGCTCGGTCTGGGCCTGTGCCTGCACCCCGTACGGGTACCCACTGTAAGCAGCGTGGGGGAAGGAGAATGGCGAGGTGGGACTAAGGTGGGAGTGGAGTGGAGGGGGGGCAGAGGCTTCTCGGATAAAAGGCTCGAGTGCTCTCACCAGATCCTCCCCGGACAGATCTATAGCGGCAGCCATCTAAGGAGCTAGGAAGAACTTTTTTTTTTGGATTTTTGTTTTTTGGAAAGATGAACAAGAAAGAAATCTGCCTGGCTTCCAAACCAAAACCTAGAACAGGCAGAGAAAATCAACAACAGCCACGGCAAAAAGAGATGGCGTTTGTGGTAGATCTAGACACAACGAGCAAGGAGGTGTGGAAAAAGAACCTCGCCTGGCCGATTACTACAACTAAAAGAGAAGAAAAACGAACAGATCTGGAGCCCCTGGATCTAAAACGTCCTGGAGACCTCGCTGCCTGCCGAGTGAACAAGGAGACGAACAAGGGAGGGGGGAAGAGGGCTTGGGATTCAAAGAACTTTACCTTGGCGACGCAAGAACTCGCTCGGATCTATTCTTACCTCGCTCGAACTCACGTGAGTGGTTTGTGGTTGCTGGGATTGGGGCTTTTTCGGTGGCTGGTGGAAGGTGTGTGGACGAAGGTCGGAGTGGGCGAAATGGAGGCGGGGAGGAGGACTGGAGGGCCAAGCAGCTCCTTTATAGCGCGGGCGGCCCCTGGGCAGCCCGCAACTTCGTGACCCATGGTTTATCCTCTCCCGATTAATTATTGCCCCTTTTCCATCCTCTCGCGGTTGTTTAGGGCTGTGATTAGTGGTTTGCTTCGCTCCCACTCCTCCCCCCTCCGCGCGACTGTCATGTGGGACACCGGGCAGATGCACAGGCAGGCATTAAATGCCCGATCGGATGTGCTGGGGAAAACCGCGTCGAGCAGCGGGGCTCCGCCACTGGGAGGACGCCAGGTGTCCTGCAAACCGACACCTGTGGGGCTGAGGAACCGGGTGTCGCCGGTGTGGCCGCCGTGGCGAGCCTTGGTGGAGGCTTTCTGGTGTCCGCTGCTCGACGCCGGTCAGCTTCGCCGGGGCCGCGAATATTCCGCAGGAATCGCTGCCTCGGCCGCTGCAAGTGGCAAACGGCTCGCACGGAGGTTGCGCGCCAGTTCCGTGAATCGCTCGGACGGCAACGGTTATTTCTGGTTATTAGAATTTTCCTAATCTGGTTCAAACAAACTTCGAGCTGCAAGCTTGTCCATGGTGTTGTATCGCAATTTGGAAGCTTGACGAAGATAGAATGTTCCCTTCCTTTAGGGGCCTATGGGTGCATCCGGGCGCGTCCGCGGACAACGTTCACCGAAGCAAAATTTCGTGTTTTGATTTTTTTGCGAAACTTTGTTCAAGATCTAACCTTGCTTTACAAAAAAATTGAGATCTGACTCTTTCTTACCGCCAAGGCCCCTGAGGCCAACTTCACCGCGCGACCCTATCCTATCCGTCCCGTCTGTTTGGGGTAAAACGGACAAACCATACGGCTCAGCAGACGGGCGCAAACGGACTTTTGTCAATTTTGTGTCCGCTTTCGACTCATCCCCGGTTTGTGCCGGTTTTGGGGTGAAACGGACAGCGCGCGAACGGACGGGACGCGCGCACGTGTCCTCCCCTGGCCCGACTGTCGGTGGCACAAAGCAAAACCCCCCGCCCGCCAATTTGGCGCCATTCCCACCAAACCCTCGCACGTCCCTCCCGCCACCCCCTCCCTCCCCCGTCCATGGCCGACACTCCGCCGAATTCCGGCGGCCTGGCCGTCAACCCACCCGGAAAGGTGAAGAAGAAGGCGGCCAAGGCGCCAAGGAAGCCGCGGTCGGAGTGCACGCCGGAGGAGATCGCCAAGTTGGACGCCGAATCGGCGAAGAGGAGGGAACGGAGAGCGGTCGTCAAGGTCAATGCCGCCGCGGCCAAGTTCGCCGCCCAACGCGATGCGATGGAGGCCGCGTGGCACAAGGCCGCGGTCGACGAGAAGGAGGACATCATCAACAAAGCGCACACCCTCCTCATGCTTGGCATGGGCCGTCGGCCCGGCGAGCACAAACTCGTCGGTCGCCCGGCCTCCGCACTGCCAGTCACCGACGTCGCGGACCACGCCCATGTCGCCCGACTTTCCTCTGCCAAGGCACGACGGCCAGACCCGTTTCTCGGGGTCGCCGGACGTCGGCTTGTTCGCGCCGTCCACACTGCGCCCCGCGGCCATCATCGACCTCAACGTCACGCCTGGGTCCAACAGCGGCGGCCGGCCGGCCGTCGAGATGCAAAGGAAGCAAGCACGGGCACCGTTCACGGGCACCATGCCGGCCCCTCGCATCTTGTTTGGCGGAATGCCAACACCAACGCCAACGGTTGACGACCCCTTCTACAGCCAGTACATGGAGGACGTGATCTTCGAGGGTGGGCATGGTCGTGCCTACGACCCCGAGGAGACCCAAAGTCAGGATGGCCGCGCCCAGTACGTGCCCGATGAAGAGGCTGACGACCGTGCTGACTACGACCATGGTGACTCGTGGCATGAAGACGATGACATGTATGTCGAAGGTGATGGTGATGAAAAAGAAGGCAATGACGTTGATATTAGTGACGAGCCATTGTTCATCGACGAGCTCACCCAAAGAGCGGAAGCACAAAAGAAGAGGAAGGGCATTCGCACGGGTTCATATACACAAGATGAGGACAAAGTTGATTTGCCAAGCTTGGATGGAGATTAGCCAAGATCCGAGGACCGGCGCGCAACAAAAGGGCATTTTTTTGGACGAGAGTCCACAAAACATTCGATGAAAGGAAGATGTTTTTTTTTGAGGAATTAGCGACAGTGGGAGAGGCTCCCACTGACTTTGTATTACTCACAACATAACAGTTACAAGTGTGTTACAATGGGTTTTAGGCCCCCCGGTCGTAAGTGTTGCAGAAGCAAAACTAGCTGTCCAAATTTACAATGAAGTCAGACAGAAAAGGATGAACTTTCTCAGGACATCTATGGATCACCAAACCCAACAGAAGTTTGAACCTAGCCAACCATGCCATGAACGAGCGCGGGATCCCCCTGAAATGTTGGTTGTTTCTTTCCATCCACAGGCTCCAAGCAGCAAGCAGGAAGATATTCATGAAAAGCGGCCGACGCCAGCTCTCTCTCCCAGCATGCAAGATGGCTAGCCTATTGGTTCCTCCTGGCCAGGTCAGACCAACCTTACTCCAGCATTATTTGGCAAAAGGGCACTCGAAGAAGAGATGTTCCACGGTTTCCTCTGGCGGGGTTTGGCAGAGCATGCAAGTGTAGTTGCCCCCGGCTACAGCAAAGTGCCGCCTCTTCGGCATGTTCCTGGTGTTCAAACGATCGACCATAAGCAGCCACCCAAACATCTTGAACTTGATCGGGCATTTGGCTTTCCATAGCCAACCAAAGGCCTCATCAGCTTTCACCTGCTTGAAACAGTGGTTGTAGTACTTCTTTGACGAATAATGTCCTAGTTCACAGACCCAAACGTCGGGCGAACCGTATTCCAGACAAACATGCGAGGACCCTTGCTGTATCTCTCTTATCTCCTCCCTAGTCTGGGCCGAAAGAGGCAGACTGAAGATCATGGCTGGATCAGTGGTCCTGAGAACCCTAGCAACGGAGTCATCCTCGTTCAGAGCATAAGAGAAGGCTCGCGGATGCGTGTCCATCAGTGCGGAGCCAGTGTCACTAAACCAGACATCTTTCCAAAACAAAGAGCTGCATCCATCCCCGGGGATGACCCCGGCGACCCCACGGAAGGTTCCATTGAGCTGCATTACGTCTTTCCACCAGAAGGAACCCATTAGCTCAGTGGCGTGCGGCGCCTTGTTCGGGTAGTACGCCTCCCAGACTAGCTGAACCCAGGGCACATCCTCACGATTGTAGAACTTGAATAAGTACTTTAGGAGAAGCACGGCATTTTGTATCTTGATATCAATAACACCGAGGCCACCACATCGTTTGGGTCGACAGATAAGCTCCCAGGCAGCAAGGGAGTTGGATTTGATCCCATCGTCAGAATTTTTTGCCCAGAGGCAGTAGCGGCGTAGTTTGTCAAGGTGCTCAACCACTTTAGGGTGCAGCTTGATCGTGCACATTGCATAGATCAGCATGGAGGTGATCACCGAATTGACCAGCGTCAATTTGGCCCCCGACGACATCAGTGATAGGGCAGTGGATGTTTTCCTCTCAACCGAGTGTACCAATGGCATGAGATCGAGAACACTTGGCCTAGTCGTCCCCATGGGGAGACCAAGGTAAGTGAACGGCAGGGTGCCAACAGAGCAGCCAAACACCCCTGCCAACCCACTAGCATGCTGGTGATTGTCATTAATGGGTATGAGGGTCGATTTATGGAAGTTGATCTTGAGTCCCACCGAGGACGCATAATCCTCCAAAATAAGTTTCATGCGGGCGACCTGTGTGGGACAAGCTTGCATAACCAGGATTGTGTCGTCAGCGTATTGCACCACCGGGAAGTCACCCGCATTTTCACGAGGAATAGGAAGCTCCAGCAAACCCTAAGTGTACGCGTCATTGATGGCAGCTTGGAGTAGATCAGCCGCAAGGACAAAGATCATTGGTGAGAGAGGGTCACCCTGTCTCACGCCACACTTGCATTTGAATTTCCGACCAGGAACACCATTTAAGAGAACTGACGAAACTCCCGAGCCAAAGATCGTTTCCATCCAGCCTAGCCACCTATCATCAAAACCCATGTGTTTCATAATATCCAGCATGGGGGCATGTTCAATCGTATCAAAGGCCTTGGCAAAATCAAGCTTAAGTAATACAATCTCTCTCCCAGACGAGTGGCATTGATGAATATATTCGTACGACCACGCGAGACAATCCTAGATGGTCCTACCTTTGATAAATCCATATTGGTTCCTGTGTATGATGTTTAGAATGACTTTCTGCAGCCGGTTCGCCAAGATCTTTGTAATGATTTTTAGACAACAATTTAGTAAGGTAATTGGTCTGAAATCATTAGCCGTTTCCGGAGAGGATATTTTTGGAATCAGGGTGATATATCCCTCACTAATGCTAGTGATGTCAAGTCCCCCAGCATGGAAAGCGTGACAGAGGTCATAGAAATCTGACTTGATGATTTGCCAGCACTTCTTAAGAAAGCAACCATT